ACACCACCGTGCCCTTCCCTGTGGGTACATGTCTTTCCTCTTTTTAGCATTAGGAAACTGGTTTTTACTGGTCCCTGGCTTTATTTTCATGTTTGTCTCTGGGAAGCAGCCTCAGATGCAGCTGTTGCTGCATCAGATTTATCTCTGTGAAAATTCCTGCTTTGGTTTTGCAAGTGTTTTAATTAACGTACATTATTTTAGTACACTTTACTACTGATAGCATGTAATTATCTCCCCACAGGTATATATTTAGCTAACCAGCAGGCTGATCAAAGACCTACAAAATAAGGTTCTTTTGTAACTGACACCAGATACAAGCAAGATGGGACCAAAGGAGGAGGGAGGAATCCCCCCCTTCCCCGGTCCTAAACCCGGGGCTCAAATTTCTCCACTTGAAAAGATAATCATAACATTACCTTACATATTTTATCAGAGGAGCATGAAGATGCATCAACACTCAAGTGCTGTGAAGGAGAAAAGAACTATGTACATACTCAACTATTAATCATTGGTAAGTGATCTCCTCTGCAAAGTGTTTTGAGGTTGACAAAGGAAAATGGCTCTGTAATAACACAGAGCAAGCAATCTGCTTGCAATCACAGGTTAATTCTCTCAACTGCTTTTGCCATGTCAATCCCTAGGTATTATTATCTCTGCAAGGCAATTCACCATTTTCCTGAGGAATTCTGGCCATGGAAGAGATTCCAAACTCCATACCCTTTTCTTGTCCTATTCAATGCCTGAGTCTGGTTTCCACTGCAAGCACAATTTTAGATGAATGAGGCTGAGACCTCAGCAGCCACCCTGCTCTCACCACACCAAACTGTTCATACAATTAAAAATAACTGACTGGATCAAGCAACCTGGGACGATACCTTTTCTCCAAATTACTGGCTGATAAAACATGCATCTCTCTTTTGTGTTCTTGAAGTGCCAGTAGCTCTTGATTTCTCTCTCCTTGATGGCTGCAGCTCCTTAACCTGTGCTGGTGGGAAGACATCAGATTGAAATGAGTGTTTTGGAGCCAAGAGGCACCCTGTGCCAAACCACATGTTTCAGAACCATATTTGGTCCACGAACCACCAAAGGTTTGATCCTTTATTAAAAGCACTGGGTGCTTTGTCATCAGTTTTGATAGGGGCAGGACCCCTGTTTAGGTAAATCCTCATCTCTTGACCTTCTTGAAGGCCACTCTGTGCCACCTCACACACCTATGGACAGTGTGTTTGCACATTACTACAGTACCAGTGACCACCCAGGTGAGACCCTGAGTTTTCAAAAGTTAGCACACAGAACAGGAAAAATGATCCCAGCCTCTGAGGCAGGCTGTTTGCTTTGTTGTTTTTTTGAAGTTGTGCTTTTTACTTCTCCTTTTCAGAAACTTAAATGAAGAGTGTTACTTAACTTTTCAGGCCACAACTGAATCTTTGGACTGAAAGCTGCAATATTATGTGTTACCCTTGTTAGTGGAGGAAGGAAACCTCTTTCGCATCCATTGACGTCTTTTGCAAAATACTCTGTGTATTTTGAGTTTGTTTCTATTTCTACTTCTATTATTTCTATGCCATTACTTATGAACTTCACAGCATTTTCCAGAGACGTCTTCACTGAGATGAAAACCTCAGGGCAACACTCCATTAGGCTTTTATTTTTAGAGGTTGGGTTAAACCTTCTTGAAATCAGTAGGTTTAACTGCATTCCTTTATTTAGGGTAGCTGAAGGAGACATTAAGTCTATTTCCACCCACATTATAAGATTACTCAAGAACCTGAAGGCTCTGGGAGGACAGTTTGGGGTAGGATATTAAAAGGAAAGAAGGTCACATGTGGATGGACTCTACAGTTCAGGTGGAGGAAGAGACAGAAAGATGGAGCATTGAAACAGGCAGGGAACGGAAACTTCAAAGAGCCTGAATAATCAGTGATATAAAACCTGGACTGAATACAAGGATCTGGGGTCACATTGATGCTAGGAGCAGGTCTGGAGCTCTAAGCAAGGAAACTGGCCCTCAATGCCTGATTTCTTCTGTGTTTAGAAAAGAAGGGCTGTGAGCATTCTTGCAAGCAAACAGAGACACATCAGAAACACCTTCCTTTGTCACTCCTCCTCCCATCTGGGTCAACCAAGCAGACCCTGAATTTTGGCCAGCAGCACAGGTCAGAGGGAGGAAATGTGCTGCAAAACCTCCTGCACATCTGTACCATTTCACTCTTCCTGCTTGGGTCAGGTTAAGGTGGCATAAAGACACAGCCCTGTTCCTCTCAGGCTGCCAGAGCAGGCAGCCCAGGCCCAGGGTTGGGGCACTGCTGTCTTTGATTGCATTGGAGATGGATCCTCACTCAGGATTTCCATTCCTACCCTAACAAACCAAATCTCCCCTGATCTTGCTACGGGCAGTTTGAGCTTTTCTGCTCTGCAGAGAACTCCTTAAAATGAGGCCCCCACCACTGGCTTTCTTCCTGTAGGTGAATTAGTCTGCCTTGCATGGGTAATCCTATTTAAAACAATAGGTTGCCTTGCAAGAATGAGGGAAGATAGTTTGGAGCATGATTTTCTGCAAGTACTGTAAAAAGGCCACGTAGTAGTTCATCAGGGGACACTTCAGCCATAAAATGACAGTTACCGGTAAAGTTCACTAATAAAATAAAAGATAATTTAATGAGTGGATTTTTAACCCATTTAACAGAGTCTAAATTTGGAAGGCTTTCTTCAGGTGATCAGGCAGACTATGCTTTCATACTCTTACTTTTTGTTATTAATTGAACTAAAAAAATGAGGTAGTAATCTATTCCTTCTGCTTTTATTTTTATGTTATGGGAGAGAAATATTCAATGTAAATAAATTAATTTTGGTAAAAGAGCAGGTGAAGCTGGACATGGAGACCAGCCTCTGAGTGATATGTGTGACACGGTGCCAGATCTCTTGAGACAACACAGGTGCCACACCTCAACTGATTTAATACCAGGTAACACAACCCTGCAGATTCTAATCCAAGAATCCTGCAGTGGCAGGAGGGAGGCGTGTGGAATAAGACTCTGTGACCTAAGAGCAGTAAAAGCTGCAGAGATTAGAGTTTATGTAGGAGCCCTGTGGGCTCCCCTCAGCGTCTTTAATTTAGTTTTCATCTCTGATCCGCTCTAACACTCCTCTGTGGGATGGATATTTCATGTCTGGGAAAGCTGGGGGGCTGGCTGACCTGCCAGGAGCTGCGGGGGACGGCTGCTCCCTGGTTGCTGCTGCATCACTTTGCTCTTCAGCTTCGGCACAATCAACAACAACAAACCCTGACACTGTTACGAACCTGTAAAGGAGGGTTTGAAGCCTCTAGAGGTCACTAAATGGGGACCATCGCTGCAGCGGCTGCATCCTCTGCCCGCGAGTGACACCTGCCGGGTCCCAGGGCTGCAGGTCTGTGTCTGCTCAGGGCAGACTTTCTGGAGGTCTGTGAGCACTAAACCCCCCAGAAAGGCTCTGGGCAACATGAGATAAATCTGGGTGGCTCTTTCCTGCTCTGCTCCGTGCTGGCGTGGCCTCACCTCCAGTCCTGGGTGTGGATTCGGCACACCACAATACAAGATATAAAGCTATCAGAAGGAGGGCTATGAAGATGGGGAAGGGTCTATAGGGGCTGTATGAGGAGTAGTTGAGGTCACTTGGTCTGCTCAGCCTGGAGGAGACTGAGGGGAGATTCATCAGGATCTGCAGCTTCCACATGAGGGGCAGCTCCAATCTCTACTCCCTGTGACCAGTGACAGGACCCAGGGAATGGCTTGGTGCTGAGCCAGGGGAGGGTTAGGCTGGATATAAGGAAAAGGTTCTTCCCCCAGAGGGTGGCTGGGCACTGACCAGGCTCCCCAGGGCAGTGGGCACAGCACCAAGACTGACAGAGCTCAAGGAGTGTTTGGACAACATTCTCAGGGACAGGTGGGGCTGTTGGGGTGTCCATGAAGGGCCAGAATTTGGACTGGATGATCTTTTATGGGGCCCTTCCAACTCAGGCATTTTGATTCCCGTTGCAGGAAGGCAAATCTTGTCTTTATCCACACATTAACTCTTCCACCACTCTGGTTGTGCAGGTTTACTTACACCACATACCAATGACCCAGCCTCTCTTTTTGACACCCATCCCGAGCAGCTTTTGTAGAACACAGTATTTTCCCACCGGGAAAAGTCCAGAGTGGGCACCAAAATGGGATTTCTTACAGTACAATAAACGACAACAAATGTTGCAGTATATACTGTCTATGAACTCACATTTACAGTGTTAGAGCTGCAACTTCACAACACACTGGCAAAGGTTATTTTGTGGGACATCAGTGGGACCGCTGATAGAGTCTTGTGATGATGCTGATGAGGATTTGTGGATTTTTCCTATATATTCTCACAATACGAAGCACCAGCAAGGAGGGCACCGATACCCCACACAGTACATTGGGACTGTCCAAGGCACTGCCCTGGGGCATCAGAGAACAAACACCCTAGGGAGTTGTTTGCCATCCCCTGAGGGGGACCTGCTGGAGCGGGACCAGAGGGAAAACGCCACAGCCCAGGACGGTGCCAGGCTGGCAGTGCCCCCACAAAGCCTGCAGCCCCCATTGGGAACTGACCCCCGGTGAGGAGATCATGGAATCATAAGAGTTTTAAGGGGTTGGAATGGACCTTAAAGATCATCTCGTTCCACTCCCCTGCCATGGGCAGGGCAACCTCCCACTATCCCAGGTTGCTCCAAGACCCGTCCAACCTGGCATTGGACAACCCCAGGAATGGAGCAGCCATAGCTTTTTTGGGCAAACTCTGCTGGGGCCTCACCGCCCTCACAGGGAAGAATTTCTTCCCGACGTCCAACCTGACCTTCCCCCCTCTCAGTTTGTACTCGTTACTCCGCGTCCCGCCCCCAGGGCAGGACGGACCCAGGACCCGCCCTGAGGGGCCCGCGCCCTTCCCAACATGGCGCCGCCCCCTCCCGGCCCCATCCGGGTCCCCCGCCCTCCCTTCCGTGGTGCCCGCGCGCCGCTCCCGCCGCTCCAAGATGGCGCAGCCGCCGGGTGAGTGCGGGGGCTCCAAGGTGACCGCGGCCCCCTCACCCTCCTGCCCTCCCGCCCTCTCACCCCGCTCTCTCCCTCTCCCCGCCGCAGTTCTCCTCAAGGACACGAAGCTGATGGACGTGAAGCTGGGCCAGCTGCCCTCCTGGCTTGCCATGAGGGACTTCACCCCCGGCGGCATCATGGGGGCCTGTCGACGAGGTGAGGGGGGCGCGGAGGGCGAGAATCCCTGAATCCCTTCTCCTGACGGAGCCAGGGAGAGCAGAGCAGCACACAGGCATCTCTGCCTGCCGGAGTGGATGTTGGGTGGGGCGGGGGAGGCGGTTCTGCAGCGCAGGGGCTGCTCCACGGAGGGCTTTGCCTTCCCAGAGCAGTTTCTCCTGTAACACCTCATTCTCCTATCTGTAAATTTGTTTCTCACGTGAACTTTATTCACCAGAGGTTTGTTTTCATAATTCCTTCTCGTATAAAGGGGAAATGGGATGCCCTTAGTCCTGAACCCACTGGCTGAAAATCTCCAAGTTTCCCAACATCACAGGTCAATAAAAAATAATTTTTAAAAGCAGTTGAGCCCTGCAGATGGTACAGAAGGACACAGGGCACTTAAAATCTCTTGGGAAGAGCTTTGACCAGTGTCCTTTGCTGTAGGTACTGATCTCATTCAGGCAGATCCAAACACAAAATATCAAATGCAAGAGTTTGCATTTGATAATACACATATGTACGTATATCATGTATATGCAATGGTATGGAAGAATTAGAGAACTCCAAAGCAGCTTGAACTCATCAAAGTAGATTTAAACACAACATATCAAATGCAAGTGTCTGCATAACGTACATACACCAGTATGAAAGAATTAGATAACTCCTAAGTAGCTTGAGCTCATGAAAGTCACAATAATGTTTAGGGAAAAAATGATAAATGGCTTTTTTTCCCCCTTTTTTTTTTTTTTTTTTAAGGCTTAGGGCTATTAACTTGAGATCACCTTGCTCAACTGATGCACAGGTTGCCTCCTCCCAGACTTACTTCTGAGACTTTCAGATGTGTTTCATTAGAAACAATTTCCTTAAGTTCTGTGAATCCAGGCCACTTCTTTCTGACTCAGGAAAGCCGACAGCTCATCTGGCTGCTCTGAAAACTCTTCTTCCTCCCCAGGTTATGACAGATACTACAATAAATACATCAATGTGAAGAAGGGGGGCCTCGGGGGTATCTCCATGGTGCTGGCTGGGTATGTTGTTCTCAGCTACATCTGGAGCTACAGTCACATCAGTAAGTAAAAACCAGGCTCTCTGTGTGTGCAGGGCAGCTTGGAAGGTTGCTTGGGGTAATAAAAACAATCTGCTGCTGCTTTTAAAAATAAAATGAAAGATTGTGGGTAAACAAACCTAGCATAGAAACCTTGATTGTTTACTTGGTACATTACCAGCTGGCCAGTATTTTCTTGGCAGTGAAGAAAGTTTAGGTCTTGGTGCCTGTCTGACCTGACAGGACTTAGAAAATACATGTTCAGGGAGTTTTTCAGAGTGCTTTCTTGCCTGTAATTTCGGGTGTGGTGGGGTTTTTTTTCCTTGTGACTTGAGCAAAATTAACTTGCTGTGCTTTGCTGCAGAGCACGACCGGCGCAGGAAATACCACTGAGGCACCATCAGAAGGTGAAGGTACAGCTCCTGAACAGCCCTGGCTGCTGGCAGTTACCCTGACAGAAGACATCACAACTATTCATGTTAAATCTGTGCTGTTGTGACCAATAATAAAGTGCTTACACTTTACGTTTCCTGAGCTGACACTCTCCTTAATTGAGTTGTTAATTGTACTGTGCATTCTCGGAGTTTCACCCCTCAGGGTAGGTTCAGAGGTGGTTGGGAAAGCATCTGCTCCTTGGACTGCATTATGAACTGGGAGAACTACTGCCACTGATTTCCTGGCTGATAAAACTAAGCGCTTCCTCCTGGCCATTCCTGGCTGAGAGGATGTGTTTTGATTTGAAAGAATGTCTGAGCTTTAGGTGGCATGTTGGTGTTTCTGGTTCTAAGGCTGTCTCCAGGCTCTGTAGGTATTTGGGCAGTTTTCCATCACTGCAGAGCACTGTCTGAGATGAGACAGGTCTGCAACTCTCATTCTGTCACTGGGATTGTAATGCTCCTTGCCTCAGATAACCCAAAATTTCTATCAAAACTCTACCTGCTTTCACTGCTAAAGCTGGGAGGTCCTTCTGAGTGGGTATAAGCTCACACATCTCAGCCTGGCCACTGTTCAGCCTCTGGGGGCACAAAGTGCTACAAAGAGTGTCTGACCTTAGACTTGAAACTTGCAGTGACTGACTCCACCGTGAAATAACCCAGTCATTCACACCAGCACAGGCTCTTCACTTCTCTTAATCAGATCAAGCCAGATCACCTTGTTCTTAAAGAAAAATAAATTCACAGCCAGCTTTTGCCATCAGTACATTTCAATAAAAACAAAGTATAAAGGCAGGCAGCAAACGAGAGATGGGGTCGAATCAGTAAGGCTCACACTGGGGGGGAAATGTTTTTTTTTTTTCTTTTTTTTTAATACATTTTTTGTCATTGGCCCTTTCAAAATAAGTCTTCTCAAAACAAATGGGGTTTGGGTTTGCAAAAAAATTGCTCTCAAAAGAAATCTCTACCACTTTTAAAAGCAGTGTTCCACAGGAAGATACAGCTCCACTTCCTGCTCTTCTCTAGGCTGTGGGAATCCCTGCTCAGTGTGAGCTGGATGATGGGGGGCAGAGAGAAGGCTCTTCTACTTTCAAGACATGCTCATTTCCCTCCTTGCTTTTTGCAAATGGAAACTGAGCACAGATGCAGCTTTCCTATTAGGATTTTTGTCCTGTTCCTTACTGTCTGGCCGAGAGATTTTGCCAATTTATTCTCCCCTTGATTGGTTCTCACCCAGAAGATTAATTTCTAACCTTCAGTACAGCAAGAAGCACAGAAACAAAGCAAGTGGACACGAGTTTTACTGCCTGATGTACTTGAAGTGTTACGTCAGCCATCAGGACAAGCTTTACCAGGCTGGGCCTGGAAACATGACTTTGCTGTTTAGGAGCTACAGGACAGCAGAATCCCTGTTTCTCACTGAGGAGAAGGCATTGCAAGTGTTAAATTTTCCCAGTCAGTCTTCCTGCTTCCACAGGGAAGGCTGAAACGCTGTAGGTTCTCCAAAGAGAAGTGGCAGAAGGAAAATACTTCAAAGAAACACTGGCCTAAGATGTGTTTACCTGGGGTGCTGCACCAGTAAGGGGTTGGTTTATCTACTGGCTTTTAGATCTACATTTCATCAGGGCTCAATGAAAACAGGCAGAGGTCAAAATCGGTTTTAAAAAGGTTAAAACTTAAAAAAAATTGGAGACAATTACAAAAACGTTGCTTAGCAGCAGCCAGCCTCTGACCAGTTCTTTCAGTAATGGCATTAAAAAACAACCTGATTAATAGCTCCAGACATAGTGCTAGGCAGAAACCTTTCCTCAGTGGCAACAGCAACCTTGCACCTTCTGCTCCTTCACTGTCCACTGAGAAAGGCCAGATGTCCTTTGGTGCATCTGTTGGCATAATGACCTTTTTCTCCACACTGCAAGAGAAAGAGAGACAGGAATTACTACACAGTTACATCTTTTTCCTTCTAGCTGCCTTTATCAAGGTAGCCAGCAACTGTTCCCATTTGGAAGCTTTTCCACAGGTGCAGAATTTAGCAGGTGAAGTGAAATATGTTGTCACAAGGGATATGATCTATGGGGCTGCTTCCACTCCTTGGAGCAAAAGCTGCTTCTGTGCTGGGAGCCAAGTGATGCCACTTTATTATAACCCACTACAAAGCAACACTCACAACCACAAACAGCAAAGGGCTGTAAAACAAGAGGAGAATTTCAACATTTGAGGGTTCCAAGACTACTCCATCTGATATGCACTACATCAGAGACCTGTGGGGACTCTCCTGATCTGCTATCCTGAATTAAACAGAGCAAAGTGCCTCTGAACTTGAGAAAGTCATGAACAGACTCATGACTTTGCACCTTAAAGCCATTCAGAGAATATCCAGAGAAATGCCAATATCTGGTGCAACACCATTTTCCAGATCTGTAATTTGCTTGCAGGTAAAATAATAAGCAGCTGTTAAAGGTCTTCAGTGAAATGGATTCAGACATTTAATACCCCCATCCAATCACAGTGATTTTTACAGGCAGAGTTGACACATATAGTGATGTAACTGCCAAGGCTGATGGAACAGGAAAATCCTTTGCCCTTTTCTAGTGCTGGAGCTGGGGCTTGTGGGGAAAAAACCTTTTGTTTTCCCTCCTCATCCCTCCCCTCTGAATTACCTTGTAGCAGGTGACTTGCTCCAGGGGCCGGGGTCCTCTGTTCCCACTGTTGTTGTTTTGAGACTGCATGACTCCAATGACTTGGGGTGTCCTCTGTTGGTTTGGAGAAGAGTTCTGACTCGTTAAGTGCATCAAGGATAAAGATCTCTGTGGTTGTTATTTTGTTTAGAAGGGAAAAAGAGCACCCCATAATGTCAAATGATCAATTTTCCTCCAAATCTGTGTGTGGGTGCTCTGCCAGCTGGAGCACCAGAGAGAAGAAATCAAGCACTGAGCCTTACAAAGCCCAGAGATCCTGTTTTTCTCTGAAAGCAGATTTGGAGAGCAGGTTTAGGCTGCTAAAATATCATTGCCATCACGGAGGGATGTCACACAGATCACACAAACTGGCAGACTGCTGCACAACCACGTGTGACGTGCTCCTGTGTCGCGTGGGAGTGTTCTGTGACCAGATCTCCGTGTCAAGTTGGAACGATTGTGGGGCTCTCATCACTGTGATGCTCACTCCTTAATTCTCCCTTCCAGACCCAAGAGCCTGAGTGCCCAATTTTGACCACTTGGACAATATATTCTACTTTAAAGCGCTGTGGGAAAGGCTTGAGGGCAGGCGTGTGGGGGAGGCAGGGGAAGTGTGTACCTTTTGCTGTGCTTGTGTCGGCTGAGGCAGTGGTGGTTGCTCTGTGGTTCCCATTGGCAGTTCAAACCGAGGGCTGGTTTAGATGGAAACAAGAAAATTGATTCTCAAATCATATCCCAACGTTTTAGCATCAGCTCAGTCAAGTAAATCCAAAGAACAGAACGTTCAGCCAATTGAATTTGGCTCACAGGAAACAGACCTCCCCCTTTCCACTTCTCTTTCCATGTGTGTAACATCCCTCTGCCTGTGAAGCCTTCTGGAATATAAAACCCTGTGATCCCACTGCACTGACAGCATCTAATCACCACTCCAGAGTCTTACTGGGAGCTCCCTGGAGAGACCCTGCCTCATATCACAGAATGGTTTTGGCTGGAAGGGACCTTAAACCTCATCTTGTTCCACCCCCCTGCCATGGGCAGGGACACCTTCCACTAGCCCAGGTTGCTCCAAGCCCTGTCCAAGCTGGCCTTGGACACTTCCAGGGATGGGGCAGCCCCAGCTTCTCTGGGCAACCTGTGCCAGGGCCTCCCCACCCTCAGAGGGAAAAATTTTTTCTGATATCTAATCTAAACCTACTTTCTTTTGGTTTAAAACCATCCCCCTTGTCCTGTCACTACATGTTCTTGTAAATAGTCTCTCTTTCCTCAGATGAGTAAAAATTTGGCCAAACTAAACCTTGGCCAAACCTCCAAAGCCATTGGGAAGCACTGGAGCACCCTCATTTGACATTTACCAGATTCCAAGGGAAACAGAAGGTTCCAGGCCAGGCCTGGAGCATACTCACTGCATGAATTTACAGGCAGGTCCCTCTGGGCAGAATCCTACCAGGTAATTCACACAAATGACTCTCCGAGTGTGCCGGTGTCTGCAGAGGGGACCTGCAATACAGAGCTCAGCAGTCTCCATCTCATAAATCCCTACCCCAGCACTCAGCAGAGCAAGTACACCAGCAGATCATGCAAAGAGAGAACAGCAACACCCCACCCCTGACTTAGAGCCACAGAAACAGCAGCTGTGTGAGGTACATACCGTGCTTGCAGAAGCCTCTGTCATACCAGGGACAGTCTTTGATCTTAGACTCCGGGTCAATGTGCAAGAATGGACATTCTTTGTTACTGCATTCCCCTGTACCAAAGGCAAACACACTTCTCAGTCAACGGTGCAGGTCTGAGTTCAAAATGACTCTCAAAACATCACCTGGATCGTGTAGCTCCCACAGGGCTGTTGCCAACACTCGTAAATTCAGGCACAACAGTCTTACTGCCTGTCTTAACCTACATGGAGAACACCAAGGATTCATCCCTGGTGAGTAAAGTTCTACCAGACTGGATAATTTATGTGTGCTTTTAAAAACAACAGGGAAACTAAATTTGAAAGAGCAGTCATGATAACAAAACCCAAACATTTAGTGCACCAGAAGCGTGGAGAAACTACAAATTGCACACTAACCTCAATCCAAGGAAACCTACAAGACTGTAGGTTTCTGGCAGCAAATTGCCTCATTATGTCCAGATCTCCAGAGCTGGAAAGCAAGTGCATAAAAGTTTTGCACCCCCATGCCCTCTGCTGCTCATCAACTCCACAAAATAGGTCATGCAAAGACCAGCTGCTCAGCCTACTCATCTCTTACCCCAAAAAATGAACATAAGGCATAAAACTCAGTGAAAACTTGAACTTTCCCCCTCTTCCTGCAAAGGGGACAAGCTCTTGAGAGTGAAGACATCTACAATATGTCACAAAGTTGGGTGGATAATAAGGTGAAGGACTAAGCAGATCTGAAAAAAATGATAATCTAACACCTCATCACA